GCCCATCTTGGGCGTTCGAACAGTTTTTTGCGAAAAGAAAAAGCCCTACAAATCGATTTGTAGGGCTTTTTAACATGAAATTGGTTCCGTAATCGACCTACCCAATGCATATTACACATAAAAGAGTCGAAATTACATCAAAAAATCGAAGCCCAACCCTTCTTCAAGCTTGATTTCGAATTTTCGAATTTTTTTTTTTTTTTTGCTGTTTGCAGTTTTGGGGGGTTTTTAAATATTTTTAAAAGTTTTTGGGGGTTTTGTTAGAAACCGCGAATAGCAATTTTGTGACCGCAATAGCATTTCATATATATATATATATATATATATATATATATATATATATCCAACTCACATTGGGCCAAGTGCCCACGTGGTTTGACATATATATATATATATATATATATATATATATATATATATATATGTGTGTGTGTGTGTGTGTGTGTGTGTGTGTGTGTGTGTGTGTGTGTGTGTTTTTACATTTTCACTCTAAATATTATAATTTTATTATTACTTTTATCTCTAGAATATGCTGATAATTAAAGCCTGTGAATATTTTTGGAGTACAGAGTAAAGGGCTACATTCAGAATATAGGGATTTGTAGCAAGTGAAATAGTCATTCAGAAGAACAAGTGCCAACAGCGAAAAAGGCGCATACGCAAGAATGTAAGCATCTAATCTGCATATCAGAAATTCTTAATTTTAAAACTGATCTGGTTCGTCTCTATCTTCATCGCTGTCTTCAAAACTCTCCATTTGAATATCTCTTATTTTTTCGGAAACTTCTTTTTCTCCTTGACTGCTGTTATTATCACGTTTGCCATAGTTTTCGTTTTTCGCTTTTTCCAGTGCAGTACTTGAATTTGTCCGTGCTACAGGTTTTGTGCTGTTATTTTCTTCAATATAATCTCTCAACTCCACTTTCGTCTTACCTTGCTCGATAGAATCATCTATTCTGAGCCGTTGATCTTTCACCACAGACTCGTTGAGTTGGATTATCGGTTTCCGCTCTTCGACTTTATTATTTCTCTTTCCTGGTATTTGTTTAGCAATCACTCTCAATCTCTTTCCGTTTGTCCTTCTCAAATACGATCTCCGTTTCCCACTAACTCTTAAGTTTTCGCCATGTGGATTTTCTTGCGCCTGCAATTTCGCACGCGCTTCACTATCTTCATCTCTCTCTACAATGTTGGCTCTTCCATTTTCGCCCCTCGTTTCCTCAGAATTTTTGCTCGTCCCATTTTCGCTGTGATTAGAAGCACTTTTTAGTTGAAGACGTTGCTTCATATCTTCGATTTCGTTTTCCTTGTTCTGTAGTGTCTCTGTTAGGGTTTCGATTCGGTGATTTTGATCGTTGGTCTCGTTTTGCTTCTCCTGAAAGGCTGTTTCGATGGTCAAAAGTTCGTCTTTTAGTGAAGAGATTGTCGACTGCATTTCCGATAACTTGCTTTTGAGCTCCACTTTTTGACCTCCAAGGTTGTATACCTTCATCTTCATCTCTTCTCTTTCCTTAATAACTTCTTGCATCTGCTCTCTTTCTTTCTGGTTTGTCCAAAACATTTTGTGTGTTACTAATATGATACCTCATTACAAAATGATGCAGTCTAGTATTATATGTTGCATTATAAAATAGGGCAAATTACGGCCAACCCCCTAAGGTGAGGCCAAATTACGAAAACCCTCTCATGTTTGGGTAATTACAATTGCCCCCAACTATGTATTGTGTTACACGTCCGCCCTTACGGTGTCAAATTTACCTACTGAAGGAGGGGGTTTTTGTAAGAACATATGTAGTTGAGGGGTGATTGTAATTACCTAAACAAGAAAGGTTTTTTCGTAATTTAATCTTATCTCAGGGATGGTCGTAATTTGCCCTATAAAATATTGAAAAAATAGAGGACATAGTTTTGTGGAGAGAAAATCCTGTAAGTTTTTTTTTTACCTTCTAGGTTTAATATAAATGGTTTCACCTCTATATTTCAAGTTGTCGTTGAGTACGGAAATTGCACTCAATCTCATTACTTTCGAACTGGATTTGGGCTCGTTATCGAGTTTGTGTAGTTTAATTTGATAGGTTTTTGTCTTTCGGTTTATTTTCTAGAAGGAAACTAAGGTTGCGTTTGGACCAAGGGATTTGAAATATGTTGAAGTAAGAAGGATTTGAAATGACTCAGAATAGGAAAAAGAGATTTGAAATCCTCCACACAACCGAAAACGAGAGGTTATGGATTGAAAATACATTGTCAAATGACTCAACCCCCAGAAAAAGAAAATCAATCGAGTTGTTATTATAGATTCGAAATCCTTCAGTCAAATTCTTCCATCCAAAAGAATTTATTTTCTAAGCCACAAAATATATTTTGCTAGAAAAATTAAGCAAATAAATAATGCAACACACTATACTAATTGAATCGTTTAAGAACACATACAAATATCAATATTAGCTGTGTAGCACGGACACGAAAACGGCGATGGAGAGAAATGAGGAAACAGACACGGAAAACGACATGTCAGAAAAACGGGGATACGAGTTCAAATACAGTTTTATTTAAAATAAATATTATTATCAAACTATCAATTTGCAAATACTCATTAAATCAACAAAAGTATTTATAAATTTGTTATTCAAATATGTTTCTAACTTTTTAAAAATTGCAAAACAGCCCAAAAGGTGTAAAGTGAAAAATACCAACTATCTATTCAACAATTTCGTTTGATAGTGGATCTGGCTTTTGAGAGGACAAATTATATATTTTATATATAAATATAGATTTGAAGAATATTATGTATATAGGAAGGAAAGTGAACCTGCAAGAGAAGGTGAAGAGAGAGAATTTGATCATCTTTCTCTTTGATGAGAAGATTGAGAATATTCCGTTTGCCTCTGATTCTGTGAATACCCATTACCCCGCATCCAAACACCACCGTTACTAACACCGCTATCGATATATATACATTCCATCTCCGGCTGCTGCTGCTGCTATGCATATGTCCACCACCCCCCTTCATTATACCCCCCATTCTCTCTCTCTCTCTCTCTCTCTCTCTCTAGACTTTCACTCTCTCTCTCTAGACTTTCTCTCTCTCTCTATCTCTCACACAGAAATAGAACAGAGTGAAGAGAGAGAAATTAATACATGCAGTGAGAGGTTAAGTATGCATGTTGCTTCTCATGTTAAAAAGGTTTTGAACCAGCATTTGTTTCTCTCTTTTTACACGCATAAACACCTTAAGTCACGCACTACTACCCTGCATTGTTATATTATATTATATTATATTATATTATATTATAGGGAAAATTGCACATCACCCCCTATAAACTATGATGCACGGACACGGATACGTGGACACGGCAATACGCGGATACGGACACGGTGATACGGTATTTTCAAAAAACTAGGATACGGACACGTGGGGGATACGCGTAAATATAAAAAATATAGGGGTATACTTATAAATAATAAAAATATAGGGGTACATTTATAAATTATAAAAAAATATGAATAAGTCGTCATCGCATAAGAGAACCGCTCGTCCTTGTTGCTCGTGTTCTTGGTCGCCGTCGCATGCTAGACTTTTGGAGTTTTGGGTGGACTCACAAATAAATCAGAGGAAATGTGTATTACAGAGAAAAGAAAATGTGCATTTTTTTTATTAGGGCTATCTTAAAACGTAAGAGAAGTATCCCAACTTTTTTAAAATTGTGGACACTGCTCGACACGGGTGTCCTACTTTTAGCGAAATTACGACACGGCCCGACACGGGTGTCCGAGAAGTGTCCGGGTGTATCCGAGTGTCCAGGTGTCGGATACGGGGACTCTTCACCTTTTAGAAGTGTCCGTGCAGCATAGCCTATAAATATCTAATTTTCACACTTTACCCCCTCATAAAAGTGAATTCCCCCTTCAAAATGTTATTCTTGTTGCACAATGTCCCCATAGCAAAACTCCCATGGATTATTCATCGGAATTTTAGTATTTTTTGATGCACATTGCCTCTTAAAAACACTATGGCTCTGTTTGGTAAGCTTTTGGGCTTCTATTTCCATTTTATTTTGGGGAAAGATATTTTGGGAGAATAATTTGAAAATTAAATAAAGTTTGTTTGTGTTTTGGGAGGAGACAATTTGTACTGTAGCAAGTCAAATCATGTCTGAAAGGTGTTGGGAAAATGTATTTTGGAAGAAGAATTTAAAAGATAAAGTAATTTGATTTTGTATTTTAGTGAAGACAATTTTCACTGTAGCAGTCAAATCATGTTTGTTAGAGAGAGAAATATTTGAATTTGTTTTAGGGAAAGTTTTTGAAAATAGTGTAGAAAAATAATTTTCATTTTGGGGAAAGTGTGAAAAGAATTTGAAAATGGTAACAAACATAACCTATGTTTTTTTTCACGTTGCCGGTTTAAAATGTTATTTTTGCTCCACAATGCCCTCCAATAATTGGCTTCTGGGGCAAAGTGCAACCAACATAATTTTTTGAAGGGGGAGTGTGTCTTTTTTGATTTGTTTGGCGGGGGATGCGCGAAAATGGATATGTTTTTGTGGAGATGTGTATATAGTCCTATGTATATATATATATATGTATATATATATATGTATATATATATATATGTATATATATATATATATATATA